AACCTCATGGTAGCAAATGCAGTTTTCCCAAAAACCTTAACTTCCTCCTGAAAGCTCAGATTGTATTATTTTGCAACAAATCCTGTCCGTTGTTTTCCTCGAGTGACACCTGGGCTGGCTCATTTTCAAGGTATATGCCAGACATGTACCTAAAGTATGGCTACTTCAGTCCTTGCCACCCACGGTTGCACAAATGAGCTTGCGTATGAAAACCACTGCAAGTGGTCATGCAGCTCGGGGCTGCCTGGGTGCTCTCGGTGGACCGCTCTCTCTTGCCTTATCAGCACATTCCTCAGGGGAGCTGGTACTTCCGGAACATTTTATTTGTATTTTTGTTCCTGTGAGTGAGAGGTGGTAAAGGACCCAGTAGCCACTAGCACAGTGGGTACCGATGCCTGGATCCCTGGGAAGGCGCTGGGCACTTACGTACTATTTGTGTAATACATCAGTGCTGATGCCAGTACGGCAAGGAGGCACACAGTGTCTGAGGATTTTTCTAAAAGTAGTGTTGACCTCATGGACCCCTTAGGCAGCATGGACCACACTTTGAGGAAGGCTGCTGTGGCTTTCGTTCAACATTGCAAGCTGCCTGTGGACTGGTTCCTGGGAAAGACGCTCAACTCCATAACCTCCACGTGTACTCAGATTTTGTCTGTCTGGCGGTAGCAACAATGATCAGCTGACGTGTATTAGATTCCTACCGTGTGCCAGGTTGTATGCCAAGATCCTCTACCATCCGCTCCCCACCTTGGAAACTGGGTAACTTCGGGAAATTTAATAGAGGCTCTTTACAAAAGTGTGAGCAGAATCCAGGTAAACCAAGGAGAAATAATAAAAGATCTGGGTCAAGCGGCCCTCTGCACAGAAGAGTAGGGGGAAAGCATGGTTCCTAGCACAGGCAGGGACAGCCCTCCAGGAGCTGTGACCGCAGGAGAGGCGTGAGCCAGCCTGCTGGGACCTTCCCAGGAGCCAGGAACTAAATACTCCGGAACCTTTCTCCTCCCACCCTCCAAACCCTGCTGGATAAACCCAAATGGAAGCCAATGGCAGCTGGGTCACAGGGCAAGGTGAAAGAGGGGAGAGGATGGTCCAGAGGGATGAACGCAGCCTACTTATCTGACACTGAGCTTTAGTTGTGTGCTCTCACGTAGTCTTACTAACCAGTGAAGTGGTGTTCCTGCAATTTACATCTTACAGGTGGCATGTTGAGGCTCGGGAGGTAAAGCAATATGGGCCAGGTCTGGGTTAGAAGGGAACCCAGACCTCACAGCCTCTATGTCCTACCTCCTGGCAAACAGGCAGGCAAGGAGGAGGGAACATGGGTTCCCTTCAGCGTGCTGCTTACGTGGACTAGTTAAACAACTAAAGCTATGTGCTGGGGAACTGTTGTTTCTTATTTACCAGATTCCATGCCGCCTTCCTGTCCGTCCCAGGTACCATTCTTCTGGCCAAACACTCCCTGCACAGGGCAGGAATTCAGTCCAAAAGTCACAAACACGTCCCTCAAGCAGCTGGGGAGTCACTGTGGGGTCCCCCACAAGGAGCTCTTTCACTAGCCACCCTTCACCCCGGCTGGCCCAGAGATGCCCTGCCAGGATTCCCTGTGTATTTTATAAAACAACAACCATCACCAAACAAATTCAGACTGCCCGGGGGAGAGAAAAATTCAGAAAAGTTGGACACTTTATGATTCACTCCACTGCATGTTCTTTTTTGTCTTTTGTAATGACTATATCTAAGATAGGATGCAAAGATCCTAGAACATTCTAGAGACACAAAGATTTAAAGTTCTAAACGGGGCTCTTTTTCAAAGCCATTAGAGGGTTTCCATGGTTTAAGATTTTTTCCTGATAGAGATATGTGTGCAAATAATTAAACCTTGTCAAAAACACTGTGTTATCCAGTGTGTCTGCTCTCTCTCAAAGTGAAGGCTGCTTTTCTGATGAATGGCCTGCTGCTTCGGATCACCTAACTTATATTTATGTCGATCAGTTTGATGCATACTTTTTTGCACTAGCTCAGACCCCATAAGCACAGCATTTAGATGTCCATCCGAGCAAGGCTGACCCCCGTGAGCTGTCTCATCTCATTCCCTCAAACCTGGCTTCGCAGAAGACGAAAGGCAGGAAGAGAAAGAAGCGGGGATATCCGTCCCTGTTTCCCCTGCTCTGCAGAGGTGGCAGCCCTCCAGGACCAGAGCTGTCCACTCCAGGCTCCAGGTCTGAGGGGCTCTTTCATACCCTCTACCCTGAGACCTGTGGACCTCCACGTGGTCATGGCTTCCCTCTTAGTTACTTTCTCATTGCTGGGACAAAGTATCCGATAACCACAGGGGGGAGTTTTCTTTTAACGCACAGTTCATAGAGGGCTCAGTTTATAGTTGGCCGGCTCCGTGGCAGGGTGGCCTTGGCAGAGGGGCTTCACGGAGGAGAAGCAGCTCATGGTGTGTCAGGCAGGAGGTAGCCAGCGGCAAGCCTTCCTTTCCCTTTTTATCCCATTCAGGCTGCAAGGCTATTGGTTGGTGCCACCCACACCTGGAGTGGGCCTTCTCATCACCCACACCCAGAACTATGCGAATCCAGTCAGCAGACTAATCCAGTTAACACCCACCCATGATCCAGCCACTTTCCCGACGCCCCACCGTGAGCGCATGAGGCTTTGGGGGGACAGCTGGATAGAAAACACGACCCTGGGTGCCAGAAGAGTCTTCAGTGGGTCGCTTTACCTGCTCACATGGCTCTGAGCAGTAGGTATCATTACAGTATCTGCAGGTGAACCACCCGAGGGAGAAACTAGTTCTAGAGCAGCTCAGAGATTAGCAAAGGCTAAATGGCGGCTGTGGACAGAGCTACGGGGGCTCCTCAGTGTTGTGGAGAGTCGGGGAAGATGGAAGATCCTTCACAAGGTGCTGCCCTCCCCTGCTGGCTTACAAGTAGAGACTCTGTAAGTATTCAGAGTTCCCACAGATTCCAAAATCGGAGGATGCTCCAGTCCCTTGTATAAAAGAGAGAAGGATTTGGGTATCATCTATATACATCTTCCAGGGCACTTTAAATTATCTCTAGGTTATTTATGATACCGAATGCAATATAGATGCAGTGTAAGTCACTGCTGTATTTTATTGTTGAGGGGGATATTGTCACCAAGGGAAGTGTTTAGATGCAGTATGGTGGCAACTATTGTAGGCCTAAGTCTGGTTGGCTGCATATGCAGATATAGAAGGCTGAGTCTCAGACAAACTCCAGGGGATGTGGCTGTCACCTCCTGCACTCTGCAGGCAGGCAGGGGCTGGTGAAGGCCTCCGAGGACAGTAGCAACCCTGGTGGGTCACTGCGAGGACACAGGAGGGGTGGTAGTAGGAACTCACGGCCGAGTGACAGATGAGGACCAGGAGGCCGCAGCAGCCTCGGTGGATGTTGTGCAACCCGAGTTGCAGAAGCAGTGGGACAGAGGAGCTTGTTGGAAAATGGCGCAGGAGACAAACTCAAGGTCCCTATGCTCAAGATTAGGGTGAGCTTGAGGGTGAGGGAGTCAGGGGGGCTCGGTGTCCTGGTTTGGGAGGTGCTGGGCACAGAGGCACATGGGACAGGGCGAGGAGCAGCTTGCTGCTGTGGACACGTCAGTGCGGAGGGCTGGCTATGTTTCTCAGAGGCGGAATCGCACACACTACGTGACTGCTGTGCCTGGCTTCTTTCACTTAGCACCATCTTCTCAAGGTCTCACCATATTGTAGGAGGGAAGAAAAAAGGGGAAATGAAAAGAATTAAGATGTATTATGTCCATGTACCAACTGCCAAGGACGAAGGCCATCACTATGTACTATGAACACGTACTAATACAAATAAAAATGGAAAAACATTCCATGGCGTGGAAGACACACATCTTATCTATCCATTCATCTGTTGATGGACCCTTGGGTTGTTCCTACTCTTTGGTCGTGGTGAACAAGGCTGTATATTCGTTTTCACTTCTCTTGGGTATACACCGAGGAGCACACATGATAACTATGTTTAATATTTTGAGGAAATGCCAGATTGTTTTTATAAAATGCCCCTCTACTGATGTGTTTTGTTGTAAAGTCAGTTTGTTTGATATTAGTACAGCAGCTTTACCTTCTTCTGGTTATCTCTTACCTTGTAAAAGAGATGATTTGGTCACCAGTGCATGGAGCCATGACTGCTACCTGATTTAGTTATGCATGGTGTGGCTTTTGTGAAAATATCACTGTACTACAAATGTAGTCTACTTGGACTTGCTCTTTTCACCCGACATGCTATTTCTAAGGCCACCTCTGTTGTATGTAGCCATAACAAGCTATGTTCACTGCTGTATGACATCCCATGGTGCGACTGACCATCGCCTCTTGGCCCAGTCTCCCATCAGTGGATACTTGGTATGACGTCATGTTCACAGAAGTTGGCTCTTGCAGAGTCGTTGCTGCTACAGATATTTTGGTTGTTGTTGCTGTTGTTTCTTTTGAGACAGGGCTTCACTATGTAGGTGAGACTGACCTGGAACTATGTAGCCCAGGCTGGTCTTGAACTCACAGTGATCCTCCTGCCTCAGCCTCCCGAGTGCTGGGATTACAGACATGGGCCACCACACCTGGCTGTTGTTTCTTTTTTGAAACTGTCGCAGTAGGTAGTTCAGGCTTGCTTTGAAGTCACTTTGTAGCCCAGGCTGGCCTCAAACTCTCCGTGACTCTCCTCCCCCAGTCTCTCAAGTGCTGGGCTTACAGGTGTGCACCTCCACACCAAGCGTGCTATGAACCTTCTACAGCTCTCTTGGTGTAAGTTTCTCTGGTCCTCACAGGGACAGTGGAGTCAGGTGGGCAACAACTTGTGAGAAATGCAAATTTTCCAGCCCCACCCCAGGCCTCTGGATGGAATTTAACATCAGGGCTCTACCTGTGTCTCCTAAGGCCCCATGGAGTGACTCCCCGATACTCCCACTGTCCCCACACCGGGCAGTCCCCCTCAGGCCACTGTCTGTCCCCACAGGAGCACCTGCACCACCTCCTGGCCCTGGAGCACCACGCGGAGGAGCAATTCCTGGAGCACTGGCTGAACCCCCACTGCAAGCCTCACTGTGACAGGAACACGGTGCCCCTGGTGTAGGGCTGGGCCCTGGGTATGTGGCAGGCCGTCTTTGCCGGAGGGCGCTGGGCTGGGAGACCCCTGGGAATGGGGACCCTAGTTGTGCAGGGGTTGTGGGAGGTGAGAATTGAGGAGTGCGGGGAGCCCAGGGAGCCTGCTGGGTCACCAAGAGATCCCACAAGGGGAAGGATGGAACCATATTCACCATGCAGAAAGGGTGACTTTAAAATCCGAAGCTGGATCGTTGAGACTTGGGTCCGTCGGCCTGTGGTCAGTACCCACCCGAGCTGTGGCACCTACCCAGTTATCACCATCACCAGGACCAGCACCGTCCCTCTTGGGTATCCTCCCCTTCCCTATAGCCTTCCGGCAGCAACTGCACGGCTCACCTGCCTGGCTGGCTCTGCTCACCCCAAACACCCTGCCTTTGCTCCCCTGTCCCTAGCTGAGGCAGACAGCTTCTCCTTGACTATCTGTCCCCACCTTCTCCCCCGCTTTCAAATCCTATTACACAAGGTGGAAAATCTCGTTAGACCTTAAGCCCGGTGAATTTCATGCCTCCTTTGCAGTTCTCATGGACCAAGGAGGACAGGACCCAGTTGATGGCCTATCCTCGGTGCTACAGAGCAATCTCACATGGCTGTTGGTCTTTGCTTTGTGCTACTGTGAATTGGCACAGGGACAGCCCTGTGGAGCAGCACGCTGTATTTCCTCCCCTGGACCTTGCAGCGCCCTGCATCTTTGAGGGCATGTATTTTAACCCCATTTTCTGGAGGAGCTAACTGGGCATGAGGAAGGCAGAGGCTGCTATGGGGGGCTCCCGACAGCTCCAAGTCCTGTGAGCTTTCTGTGGCTGCTCTGCTTGGTCCTTCCCATGTGTGGAGCCCCTGTGAGGGGCTTTCTCCGAGAGTTAGAGTCAGCTCCGCTGACAGTGGACTGGAAGTTCTTAAAGTGAGGCACGGAGGTGGAGGTGACGTCCCTCTTTGGGCCCTTCCAGCCTGGGGCTCTCATCTGTTCAGTGTTGTTGTGCACCTGGAGCCAGCTCCTGATTCCCGGGAAGAACTTTGTCATCTTCCATTACCGGAAGCTCTTGCTTGGCTGCTTCCGGGAAGCAGGTCCTGTGGAGACTTTGGGACTGGCCAGAGCTGGGCTCTGCTCTCTCTGTCCCCTCCCTGTGACCTTGGGGGTGTTGCCTCACCTCTTCTGGTCTCCACGTCTGCATCTGTAAAATGGGGTAAGGCTGCCTGTGGAGACGGGTTTCAGTGAGACTCCTTGAATGGAAGCCCTTACTGCTGTTGTGCAAGGTGGGCGAGAGGGGTTTCCTGGGCGGCGAGGCCCCTCCACACGGTTCCTCAGGGGGCTTCCGGGCTCCCTCGTCACAGACAGGAAGGGGGAAAATGCCTGACTTCTCTTTCCCCAACTGTGAAATGACAGCTCCTCCTCTTTCACCACCACTGCCACTGTCACCATCCTGACAGTATTTTCTTGATTTTTTTTTCCAGTTTTGATAAACAATGACCTGGATGATGCTGAAACAGGACAAGGCTCCTTCCTCCATCTGAATTTAAACCACGGAAAGGGACATCTTCAGGCCTCATGAAGCTGTGGCCCTCCTGGGCGTGCCAAAGGTTGCCTTGGGGATGGATGGCCAATCTGTATTCTGCTTTGTTTTATTAATCTTCATAAATCACTGCAACCAATAGCTTAAAGCGCACAGCCCCAAAGGCTTTCCTACTAGTTTGTAAGTGTGGCCAGAATCGGAATCTTTTCTGGAGTGGGAGGAGCTGGGAACCCCAAGGATTTTGGAGGAGTCTCGCTCATTCAAGTGAGGCACCCTACTCAGGGCTGCTGAGATTTGGTTATCTATTTTTTTCTTCTCTTTTTGCACTAATAAATGCTGTTGTTACTTGTCCTTTCTGTGGTGCCTCCTTCCTTTCCTTATCTGAAGAGGGTGGAGATTCCCCTCGTTTGTCTTTGGGAATCCAATATCAGAAAACAGACTGTTCTCTGGGTACATGAGTCGATGAAAATATGGACACCCAATAATTGGGCACTAGGGCCATCTTTTCTGTGTAAAGAGAAGATTTGCCTACACCTAGCTTGCGGAAGGATCATGACTCAAAACCAGATGCACACCTAGTCTTCGGCAAAGAAGACGGTTCCTGGGGACAATGGGGTGCTACTCCTACATTCCATCACACTGTCTCAGTCCCAGAGTCAGAGACTGAACAATCAAAGACCAGCTTCCCTTGTTACTTTCTGGCTGCTGGACAAAAATACCTGACACCCACAACTTAAAGGAGAAGAGGTTTATTTTGGCTCTCGGTTACAGCCCATAATCAGCTGGCCAGCTCCAGGGTGGAGACGGTGTGGTAGAAAGACCTGAGTAGAGGAACGCAGCTCATTTCAGGGCAGTCAGAAAGCAGGGAGGGAGAGGAGGAGCTGGGGATGAAGATATACACTTCCAGGTCCCCGTGACCCGCTTCCTCCAATCAGGGCCCATCTTGTAACAGGAAGTCAGCTCCATGCCCCCATGATCTGATCACCTTCCCAAAGCTCCACCTATGAGCGCATGAGGCTTTGGGTGTGCGTGTGGGGAAACTTTTCCATGGAAACCATGACAGCAGAGAGTGGGAAGGCCAAGATGGGTGGGCTGAACGGTTCCAGGAAAAGGAAAATCCGGCAGCCTCCAAAAAAATAAGCAAGTGTGTCCACCCCAGGAGGAAGGCCTAGCTAAGGAGGCTGGGTAGGTCTGTCTAGGAAGAAAGTTACTGAACCTTTCAATAGTAAGGTGAGAGAAATGTGAAGGTTGTCAAAATAAAAATGGAGTTACTTGTGTCAACCCTTAAAAGAAAAAAAAAGTAAATAAAGCTGGGAGGATATGGAGGCAAAACCTGTACTAGGTTTGTTCCCATGCAATACCTCATTTAATCATCAAACCTCCTCTGTGCACTGGATATGGGTATCTTCAATGTATAGATGAGAAAAATGAGATTTATGGAATTTAGGTAATATATTCCTTTTCTCTCAGCCATACCAAATTATTTGGCACAAATTAATGATCTTACATGCTTTATATCTGCAGTCCAATACAGAAGTCCTCAAGGGGCTAAAATCGGGGTGTCGGCTGGCTGTGCTCCTGTCGGAGGCTCTGGGGGTGAATGTTTCCTTGCCTTCCTTGCTTCCAGACCTGCCTGCCTTTTTTAACTTGATGCCCTTCTTCCATTTTCAAGGCCAGCAGTGTTGAGTTGAGTCTTTTTACATCACATCCCTCTGACTTTCCCTTCTGCCTCCCTCTTTCATGTTTAAGGACTTCCGGGGTCACACTGGGCCCACTCAGACATCCAGGGTAATCTCCCATCTTGAGGTCAGTTGACTGTCAGCCTTAAGTCCACTTGAAATTTTCCCTTCCCATTGCCACAGATGCTAACGTTATGTACAGGTTCCAGATTAGAACGTGGACATCTTTGAGGAGGCCATGATTTTGACTACTTAATCAGTCCACAGAGCTGCAGGGTGGAGGAGCTGGGATTTGAGTTTGAGAAGCCTTTCATAATGCTGAGTCCCCCATACACTAACCTCTGCCCTACACCTGATAGCTTTCTGCCTTGAATAAGTAGTTTTCTAAGCTGAGCTCCTAGAGACCTGAGCATGTGTCTCTATTGGGGTACAACTGCACCCCTCACCCAGTGAGGCATCATTTGAGTTCCAGAAATGTTCCGTGTACACTGCCGCTCTGCACAGGGATTGCCCAGGTCACGTGAAGCAGAGGCAGCCAGAAGACTCCTGCTCAGGCCACCTCCTCACTTGGCTTCTGGGGTTTTCTGTAGGAAGTAGGGGCTGGCTACGGGCATGAGGGACAGAATGCAAGGGAATGGGACTAGCAGGTCCCAAATGGAGAAAAGCAGGAGGAAAATGCACCAGGCTCGGCGGGGTCAAGGGCCTGGTATCCAGTTGAAGGAAGAGCTTCCTTGAGGTGCTAGGGAGCCTGCCTGTGGCCCGGGCACCAAGAGCAAAAGCCCCTTATAGAAAGAGAGAAAATTCTCGCTCACATAGAGCCGGCTTCCTAGCTTCCTGCCCCATTTCCCAGAACACCTTGCAGCTCACAGTGAGAGTGCTGCTGTTTCCCCTTACCCTCACTCACAACAGCTGCTCCGAAGGCAGGAGGGTTGAGAGGGACAGTGCCAGAGGACACCTTGACAGCAGCAGGGAGCAGGGTTCAGGGTCCACACTTGGAGCTGAGCCATCTGCATTCACTTCCTGGCTGCACCACAGACTAACTGTGTGCCCTTGGGCAAGCTGATTAACCTCTCTGGGTCCTAGTTCCCTTTCTGTAAAGTGAAAATAATAATAGTTCCTAGCTCAACACTTTTTGTGTGTGTGTGTGGCACTGGGGATTGAACTCAGGACCTTGTGCATTTGAGGCAGGTGGCAGCACCACTAAGCTAAATCCCTGGCCCTGCTCAACATGTTTTATGATAATTACTTTATTGAGAAGCCATCTCCTAAGTCAGCTATCACTTAAAAATTTTTTTGGATATTATTTTATTAATTGAGATAACATCCTTCCATTAAAAACATCTTTTATTTAGGGAAGAGGAAGAGATTGTTTGGGGAGCTGAGTAGAAAAGGGTCACCTGCCTACTTGAAGAGCTGCCATCTTTTTGAATTTCCAAATCTATGAACATGGTCTATCTCTGCACTTATTTAGGCCATTTTCAAATGTCCATGCTTACTATCTAATACTTTTCTTTGTAAAGATGATGCATATCTTTGTTAGCCTCAATTCCACATACTTATTTACAGAAGTTTTAGAATTATAACTGGAATTGCCAAGGCATGGTGGTTCATGCCTCTAATCTCAACATGTTGGAGGCTGAAGCAGGAGAATTATGATGAGTTCAACGCTAGCCTGGATGGCAAAGTGAGACTCTGTCTCAGAAAAACCAAAACCAAAAAATTTACAACTAGAAATTTCTTAAAATCGAAATTTTGATTTTCTAGTTGGTTATCCTGGTGGGTATAGGAATAATGCTGGAATTTTTAAAAAACATATTGATTGTACTCAGAGGCATCAGTCTTGAGAAGGTTAACGGCAGACCAGGCACAGGCACAGAGAGAGTATCTGCAGTGCGAGGTGGCTCCAGGCCTTTGAAGGAGGAGAGGAAGTCAGGGCCTTGGAGCATGGGCTCACCAACTGATACACCAAACACTTGCTGAAGCAGGCGGAGGGCACTGGCTCTGATGGCCTGGGTTTGGGATCAGTTTGACTTTTTTTTGTAACGGGGATCGAACTTGGGTCCTTGCGCTTGTGAAGCAGGAGACAGAACCACTGAGTTAAATCCCCGGCCCTTGAGTTTGGAATCAGATTGGGAGGGCATAAGGACTTCTGGGGGGAACTGCAATTCTTATTTCATTTAACCAGCACTGAGCACCTCCTGAGGAAGCATCCTTGATCTTTCTAAAGATTCAGAGATGAATAAGATTTCAGTTCCAATAAACCTACTGGGCTGTGGGGAGACAGTTACATAAGCAGGTAGTGACACTTTGGATCAGTGGCTGTCAAACTTCTGCAAAGCTCCAGTTAGTAAAGTATTTTTGTCTTGGGGCTACCAGGTCTTGTGCTGCTGTATCTGTAAAACAGCCATGCACAATAGGTAAACAAAAGTGAGTGGCTGGATTTGGTCCTGGGGGCAAGGTGGTGTCCTGCAAAGAAACCTAGTTTGGAGTGAGGCAGATCCTAATTGCAGTTTAGCTCATCCTGAGCTAGGTGTGACTAGGTGAGTCACTTCATCTCTCCAAGTCTGTTGACCTCCTCATCTTCGCTGAGGATACTGCTGTTGGCCTACAGATTGCTGGGATTCTTATGTGAAACGGCCACCAACATTTCACGGAGCATTTAAAATGTACCAGGCACTCAAAGGCTCATCAACTGATGCGTGGATAAAGATTTTTGTTTAATGCAATGGAGTGCCCCTCGGCCATAAAGAAGGGTGAGCTTGAGACACTTGTAGCTAAATGGATGGACCTTGAGGCCACGAAAGTGAAATAAATTGGATACACGCGTGTAAATATCGAATAGTTTCTCTGGTGTGAGAAACCGAAAGTGTTAAGTAAGGACCAAGATGTACAGTAGATACCGGGAGATGGGAAGAAAATGTTCAAATGAGAAGGAATAAGGGAGGAGGGAGGGGGAAAGGAAAGAAGGGAAAGAGAACCGGGGGAGAAGAAGCAAGATAAATCGTGTACGGGTACAAGTTCCCTATGATGAATGTTCTCATTGTTTTTGTTTTTGTTTTGTTTTTTGAGACAGGGTCTCACTATGTAGTTGAGACTGAACTGGAACTGACTATGTAGCCCAGGCTGGTCTCCAACTCACAGTGATCCTCCTGCCTCAGCCTCTTGAGTGCTGGAATTACAGGCGTGTGCCACCACACCCGGCTTGAATGTTCTCATTGTATGTCTAAGATGTACCAGTAAAAATTAAAAAATTTTGTGCGCGCGTGCACACACACACACACACACACACTCACACACACACACTCACAGAGTACCAGTTCCCTTGCTGAATGCCTTCACTGTATTGACTCATTTAATTTCCCACAGTCATGATGCAAGGTGTGGATCATTATGAGTTTCATCTTATGGAGGTGGCTCTTTGAGGTTGAATGACGTCTGGAGTCATAAAGCCATCAGGTTAGGAGGTGACTTGACCCAGAATGCCCTTGCGTGAGTCCCATATTGTGCGTCTTCCCCAAGGC